GGGAGTCTAGCCTAGAAAAAGTTAGTGGAATCCTATCTACCAAACAAAAAAGACTTAGGGCATAGCTCAAATGCTACAGCACTCATGCTGAAGCATGCGTTTTAGCGAGGTTTAATGACTGCTCCACTAAACAAAGCACAATCTGACTTCTATTGGTGTGATTTGATTTTCTCAAAAAAAAGTGTTCAGGGTTTATTCTCATATTGGTGGTATTGAAAGGAGAGGCATTTGAGCCAGTGGTGAAGATCTGAAGGCTCTGCCTTATAAAAGGGCTGGAAAGAGATAGCTGAGACCCTTTTTATTCTCCCCTCTTTCCTGCCTTCATGTGTACATAAAGTATTCACTCCCTCTTGAAGTGAAGGACTTCCCCAGACTCTAAGTACTGATGTCTTGACCTTGAACTTCCTATTTGCCAGGACTGTGAATGACTATTGTTTATATTGTTTTGTATGTTTGTTTTACATAGGACATACATGTGCTTACACCCTTATGAAGCAAGCTAGTGAAGGAAGAATGATTGAATAGGCAGGAGCTCAGCTCACAGTGCATTCTGGGACAAGTCTCAGTCAGGATAATCAGAACAAGATGGATGTTTGTTAAAGGCCATAATCATTTGAGAAGTGGGTCTGCTCCAGTACACCCACTGTGCTGAGTCACTGACTGGGATTAAGCATGATAAAATGTGGCCTGGTGAAAACTGTGCTGGGGATTTTGCAAGTACAGCAGTTTACAGTTGACAGCTAACTTCTTGCACTAGGCCCTCTTGAAAGGAGATCTGACCAGGGCAGTCCCATAGCTGAGACAGGCAGTTCTAGTAAAGTATTAGATTCATGTCATTAAAGAAAAAAAGTTCAAAATGATTGCCTGTAGAGAATAAGAAGTGATTGCAGTCAGCAAGACATGTGTCTTCAGCAAACCTTTTGCTACCTACCGTATCACACATTATACATGTAAGGAAAAACAGTAGAGGTCATAAAGGTCATACAGTAGTAGAGCTAGCTATACGAAATCCTTAAACTTTTATTCAACATTGTCACACTATTAGATTCCTTTTTCCATATTTACCTGTAGTTAAGTACCGAAGTGTGATTGAGTACTAGCCAATAGAATGAGGAGAGTGCTCTATCCCCTCAATAATTCACCTCCCCCATCATCTGTTTTGTTTCACTATTTTACTGCCTTCTATACTTTGGAGAAGAGTATAGACCTTAAGTCATTGCAAGCATCACTTAAGAAAAAAAAATCACCTTAGACGAGTCTGCACTAAAGGCTATATTTTTCATTCTTTCTTTTTGATAAGATTTTGGCACTTAAGTATGACAGGACCTAGCATTATTTGAAAATATGTGGTCCTAGACAAATTTGTGTGTGTGTGTGTGTATGCATGTGTATGTGTGTGTATGTGTGTATGAGATAAAGTATATAGACTGTACATCCATCAGAGATGTGAACTTTCCATAGTCCTTTTGCCTTGGGATTATTTTTTCTATACTCTCAGAATCAGATCAACTTACTATAATTTTCTAACAATATAAGTTTAGCAAATTCATGATATCAAACACAGTTTGCCTTAATTCTGACTTCTAATAAGATGACAGCATTTTCAAAAGCCTTTATGACCTCTATTTTATTCCTGAAGAAGATTCTTTATGCCTGCATTCGTAGCTCTTATCTATAATCCTACCTACTCAAGGAACCTGAGATCTGAAGATCACAATTTAATACCAGCCTTGGAAGACACATCAGATAGACTTTTATTTCTAATTAAACAGAAAATATCAGAAAATAAATGTATGACTTAATGGTAGAATGACAGCCTTGAGTGAAAAAGTCAGGTGAGACTTTCAGGCCTTCAGTTCAAGCCCTAGAATTGGCACAAATATTTTTTTTAATTCTCACATTTCAAAAGTATTCTCAAATTAGTAAATTTTATTTGTCTCTCCTCTTCTTATGTATGTTTATACGATTTCTATTCTTTTGCACTCTTATCATTATGATTGTAGGGAAATGATACAGCTTTATATTAAGACAGATTTTAACATTATATAGTTCATTGAACTTAAAACCAACTGAGTTTCCAAAGTGCAAACTATAAAAATTCTCAGAGCTATTCTCAGAGCATTTCAGGAAATACAGTCTCCACAGTATGAAAGAAAACAGAATTAGAAATTACTTACTTGAAATATTCCCTTTCATAACATGCTAATCTATTCTTTTAAATAAATGTGATTGAACATTTTGAGCCTGGAGTTCCCCATCTATTAAAAAGGGGTGATAATTTTTCACAAATTGTTGCAAGTGACTTAATAAAAAAAATATGTGGTGCTAGTAAAGTACATAGATGCAGCAGGGGGTGGCTGTGTATACATGTAATCTTAGTACTGAAGAGCTAGGGTGAGGCAGAGAGACAGAGATAGACTCTTATAGATGTAGTATCTGTTAATATGCTTCCTGAAGTAAATGCATTTCTTTTCACTGCTTTCTTTTAGTTTTAAAACATTGTCTTTTCCAAGTAACATAATTGAATACCATTTGTTTCTCACAGCAAACTGGAATCTGCTCTCCGAAATACAACCTGTTTTACAACCTCTTCCATATTGCTTCTATCTCTACAGGAAGCTTGGTCATTTATTTTGTTTGTATTGTCAGTTAGCGTTTTTAATTTCCTATAAATCATTTTCTTTAATTGGACTGCAAATGACAAGACTTCACTTTATATGAAAAATCGAGTGTGTTTTAGTATGTAATTTGTAATTGAGGTTACTTATTGTTTATTTTCACTTATTTGCTAATGCAGAATTCCTTACCTTTTTTCATAACAAATATTCTTTATTTGTTACCTGAACCCCTGACACCTGTAATCAATGCAGCATGCATCACTTCCCCATCCATGATTTGCATTCTGAGTAGTACACTATTCTGCTCAAAATTTTTCAAATGGGGCTTGTGATCCAATACAAGGCCGCAAAATCTGTTTCAACATTTGAAGTGCAATAATTATTCCATAAGAAATACAATGTAAAATAATACTTACTAAAACAGTATTTTCAAAGTGTCAACATTTGAAGTTTACAAAATAATAGGATTTGTTAACATTTCTTACCTTTAACATGTTTACTTTCAGATGGGAGAAAAACAGGGTGAGGGAGAAAGGGGAATAGCGACAGAGTAGTGAGACATTGGCTGAACTTCTGGTTCCATGTTGGCTTGATCTATCATTTTGTGGATAGACATGTGGGCCAACAGTTTGATTTTCCCCTGAGGCTTATATATTTAAAATTTCAGACTAGTAATTAACAGAGAATGGCTTAATATAGTTAGCATTTATTAACTATGAAGATCACATGTATTGATCATTTTTCTAATATGTGGAGAATGAGACTTGGACCAAAAAAATTGAATCATACAGCATGAATCATCCTCACTCATGGAAAAAATAATTTAAGTATATTATTTGCACCTTATATAAATTCCAATATTTTACTATTTAAAACAAAATGTATTTAATGTATAAAAAAGCTTCAAGGACCAGTTCTGTGTTCCAATCTGTAAAAATATTTTCATTATGTTTATTATAAAAATATAAATGCTTCCACTACAAATCACTTTACATTAGTAAGAGGCCATCTACATTGTACAACATAAACTAAATGAATGATGTTTTGAAAACTCAAGCTCATACTAAACATATATTGCCAATCATATCACATTTGTACATGGCTTAATAGGTATTTAATACAGCATAAATTGGGTGTGTTATCAGAAATAAATAATATGTATAAATCAGGTTTAAGATACAAACAGATTATATGGTACATATATTCAGAAGAAGTTGTAAAACTTTGTTTATTGAACATCAATGCAGTTTCTGTACAAAGAGATGGCCACAAGCTAGATATTCTAGTACCTCTACTCCACAGTTAGGAATCGTACACTGTTATGTTTACATATATACAGGGTAAGAATCATGTAAAGTAACTCTAAAAGAGGTCAGATAGAAAAATATTGAAAAAAAGAGCAATTATACTGTGTGTACAGCCTCCACTTTCCAACAACAACAACAAAGAACAGCCAAAATGAGTGAAATTGATTTGACAATCTTAACCTTTTCTGGTTATGAAATTTATGAGTCTGTTGAGCATACCCAGACAAGTATTTAAGAAATTAACTGCCAGTCTGGGATGGGGAAGAATGAGATCAAAAATAAAGCTGAATCTCCTTTTAACATTTCAAACAGAAAATATTTCACTACAAGATTTTCTAGTGATTTCTAGTATGAATATATGAAGTTTGTGATTAATTTCATAATCCCTTATGGCTTTAAAAAAGCTTAATTCTACTAGTATGATTTGACTCTAGGAAGTGTCCAGATTTCGGAAATATTCTTATGTCTGAACCATATCATCTTATACTAACCCTATAATAGGTTAGCAATTGTGAGTTTTGACCTGTGACTGGGAGCTATATTTTGTTACTGACCATTTTTGTGCATGAATATAAATGTTGCAGCATTATATTATCCAGAAATATGCATTTAATGGCATGCATATTTTATATCCATGACATGATCACATCAGGATGAAGATTATCTGTGTTGCTTCAGAATGTATTAACAGTTATATCTCCACCAGGTGCATTGTTTGAAATAGTAATGAACATGCCCAGAGTTGTCCTTTATATGTTGGCAAGTCTAAATCCCTGCAATAAGACAAATTTCCAATGTCTACACATTTTGAGTCATTTGCTAATTGAGTAGCTATTGCAAACATGGTATGCTCACTAAACACAATGAATTCCAAGGCTTATACACCAGATAACATACTATACACCAAAATTACAATAGTTGTGTTGATGTGGAAGACTCCAGTGGACAATGATACCTGATATTGGTGATCAAGATGTTTAATTAATTGACCTAAACTTCAGTGTTGTGGATGAGTGATTTAGCTTTCATCATTACCCATAAACAATTCAGCAATTTAAATCAAAGCTATTAGGTGACTCATGCATTGACCTATCTGCTGTTCAGTTAATGCAACAACCTATGGAGCATATCAATTCTTTCCAGTGTAACTATTTTAGGAACTCTAATGCAGTTTCCATATCACTGGAGGGATAGTATGTTATCTGGTTAAAAATCCATCATGTACAAATGAGGATATTACACTCTTTAGGAGCATATAGTTTGTAGGACATACAGAGACAAACATAAATGAAATAATTCAGACTGGGAGAGGTTGTTGCCATATGAATAGGAAAAATATGTCATGTTTTAATGACATAATAGTAAATGATTCACTAAAATCTAGAAGGAAACATCATTCTATGTGTCTTATTAATGTTTCCTTCTGCTGAACTTGAGAAAGCATTTGGCACTTGGCTGTTAACTCCAAATTAAATCAACAAGGCATAAATATAAAACAATAAAAATTCAAAAGGAAATAAATACATAACTTTTTTCAAAAATTAAAACACATCTTACATGATACACTTAAAGAAGCTAACAATTTTAAGATGTGTAGTACTCAACCAACTACAAACTTCATCTCTATCTGCTTTAAACATAGATTAAAAATAAGACTAATACAATGAAAAGGTAGTAAATATGGCCAGATAGTTTGAGGTATAAAGTCCTCTATTTTGCTCACTTTTAAAGAAACAAAATACCTGTTACAGATTTCTTTTGCGTATAAAAATATCACAAGTCTTTTAATTTGTGGTTATCCTGAACACGCTGTTATGTCCATTTTGTTTTCTTGTTTTGCTTCTATGATCCTCTCTGATCAATGGCTCGATGCTAGTTCTTCACCATTTTGAGTTGAAAAACTTTAATTTAATTCATTAACTAATACATTTTAAAAGCAATTACAAAATGAAATACACCCACCCACCCACTCATCCACTAAATAACAGGGGAAAATAAAGAGTTTTTCAATTTCACGTTAAGGCATTTGTACTCATAGTTGAGTGTCTTATTGGACTTGGAACTTCCACTCTTCTTTCCCAAATCTCATTAGCCCACTAAAGGATGCACCATCATCCATAGCCACCGCTTCCTCCAGTTCTTTACACTGGAACTGGACCATTCTTGGATTGTGTTTCTAGAGCTTTAATGCTACTGATGACCTTCTTCTGTGGCCCAACAACAGTAACACCAACCTTCTTCATGTCACTGTAAGAATGAGAACACACAATGAGAATCATGCTTTCATAGGTAGTGTGCATGCAAAATATTTTTAATTAGTAACACATGACTAGGTGCTTTGCACCTAAGTTATTGATTTTTTTATTGTCAAGGTGATGTACAGAGGGGTTACAATTATATACATAAGGTAGTGAGTACATTTCTTGTCAAACTTCTTACCCATTTCCTCATTTTCACCCACTTTCCCTCCTCTCCAACAACCCCAAGTTGTACAGTTCATTTCCAGCATGGTGTCTTGTGAGTATTGTTGTTGTTCCCTACTCTTCCCTAATTCAGATAAATGTATAAACAATACCCAGGTATTGATTTTTGGTAAAAAGTCAAATTCAGTGACAACAGGGAATAAACCACAGAGAAAAAAACACAAAACAAAAGAGAAATCACATAGTACATTAAAAACAACAACAGCAAAGGAAAACCTCTAAACCGCTTGTTTCTATTAGCTTGGCGTTCATTTCACTTTGCATCATCTTACATGGTTATATGTACATAAATATTGAACTATTATGGTCCTCTGCTAGGACTATCCTAGACATATACTAATTATTACAAATGAGGGAAACCATGTGATCTATGTTTTTTTGGGCCTGGCTTACATCAATTAATATGACTTTTCCAAGTCTTTCCACTTCTTTACAAATGGGGGCAATGTCATTCTTTCTGATGGAAGCATAGAAAGTTAGAGATAAAGTTTCTGATTTTTGAACCATTCATATGTTTTATAGGCTGGTCTCTCTATGTCTTACGGGAGAATATGATAGTGTAGTGGATTAATATCATCTTCCCCAAACTTTAAAACATAACCTCATTTGGAATTGGGTCCTTTTTTATCTAATTACTTTAAGATCCTAAATCACATGGTAGCTCCCTTATAAGAAACAGCAAAGACCACACAGTAACACGGACAAGATTTATGTAAGATGTGTGGTATAATTGCCATAGCTATCAGTATTTACTAAGAGCTAGAAGAGGTAAGAAAATTTTCTTACCTCTTTACTAGCGAGAAATGTATGTACCCTTGCCAACATATTGATATCAAATTTCTGTCTCCAGAACTGGTAAGAATAAACCTCCAATATTTAAACTAATACATTTGTGATAATTTGTAATAGTGGTCTGATCCATTTTTTTAGTTCTTAGCTAAACGAAGATAGACAGGCACACATTTTTTTTGTGGGACTTTATTAAATCAGGAATAGCTTGTGGACTGTTTTGACTAAAAACATTTGGAAGTAAAAGGTGGTATTATATTGCTTTTCTTTTTATTTTCAGGTATTAAGCAGTTAAAGTGTTCAACTTCTTATTTCTTGAAACATATCTCTGACGATACATTTCTGTTATATAAAAATGTTGGTCCAAAGAATATAGCTTGAGAGATGCCTGGTATAAAACTTTGTCTACAGCCTAGCCCAGACCAGATGGGCAGTCATCTGCATAAGCCATACATTGAAATGAAAGCAGTTCCATCTCTCCAGAACAGATTAGGCCATTTGTTCTCTGAAAGCTTCCATAATATTAACACTGGTCAATACAGAATCACCTACTGAATTCTGCTAAATGGCCCACAGAATTAGATAGTATAATGAAATTGCTGTTTTCATCAGATTTTAAATTTGTGCAACCACAGAGAAGAGGAACAATATCTTTAAAGTAAAAAATACTTTCAAAAATAGAAAATAATTGGTGAGGACATATCTCTATTAATTAAAAAATAGTATAAGCTCAGTCATTAGGCATGAAAATGCAGATTATTCAAATATAGGCAATATTTTTAAGGTGAAAGACAACCTAACATGTGTATTATAAATTGCACATTCTTGTTTCATGTTACATCTTCACATGATCACCTCTTTTTGGGTCTTTACACAAGTTTGTTTCTATATTACCAACAATTTCCTGAGTAATATTTTAAACTCTTTCTATACTTCCTTCTTTCTGCACTTGGCATTTTCCTTTTCTGGCCTTAAGCAAGGTTTTTACTTCCTAATTTATTTTCTTTATTCTCTACTTTGTCAAATGACAAGTTAAACAACCACATGAAAAGTGATTCTTGTTAAATTTCGAGCTCCACTAAGCAATAGTACCCTGAACAATAGCTTACATTCAACAGACCTCAATCCTTAGTTACTAAGAAGATAAATGTACAAAAGAGCAAAGCACCATTTGGCAAAGGAAATTTGAGCAAATTGAGAATTTAAGAACAAAGTGCACATATGTGCATGTGTGTGTGTGTGTGTTTGTGTGTGTGTGTGAGATAACCCACTCAACAAACATACCCATAGAATGATTCTTTAGTACTACAAGTAAAAAAAAGAAACACTGAGAGTTCAATTACATCAAAATGGATGATTTGAGCTCCTAGTCGGTTCCAAAGTAATGAAGGTGTGTTAAAAACAAACAGTATTTAAATATTTGAGACACAATATACATGTTCCCTAACATCAGCTCAGTAATATTAGCCAAGACTATTCAGCATCTCTGTCATCTGGATGGAGAATCAAATTCCTGATGATGTAGGATTTTCCTCCATGTTGATAACTTTTCTAAAGAAACTTGGATTTTTTCCAAGGTCTTCTCTGACTACATGCTTGAGCTTTCTTTCCTTTCCTAGGAAAAACTAGTAAAATGTACAGTGTACCAGCTTCACCACTTCTGAATCACTGCGGATTTTGAAAGCCTTCACTTACAGAAATGTGTGCTACTCATGCTGATCTCTCAATTAGAAATGTTTGCATTGCAACATCATTTTTATAAGTCTGTCTTTAAATTGTAAAACTTATATTTCTTTTCTCATTCATTTCCCAAATATAGTAAGTCATTATAAAACTATGGCAAATTATTTGCTTGATATATAAATTATTTACTTGAATGTACAACCAGCAAAAAAAAGTTATACAAAATGCAGTTATGTAAACTGATAGATTCTCTCCATTTTTATATTTTATTTCAATTCTATGTTGTGTTTTATGATAGGGGATTTTATTTTGTCTTTTCCTTTTCCTCTTCTGTACAAATGGTTAAAAGTGGTAGTCATAGAATGCAGAAAAATATTCCAAAGTTGTATGGTAATTTCCTGAGTTGTTTGAAAAATGTAAGTTCACTGTCTGATTGATGATCTTGATGCTTGGCTCTGACTTCCTTTTCTAAACTGAAGCATTTATCCTCAAGTGGAAGGAAAATAAACATCAGAAACTGGAAGATCACATTCTAAGTTGTGACATACTTTAAAAATCTCTCAAATATACTGTTTAGAAAATCAGAATAAAGCTGTCTCACACCCTGAAAAAACAATAAGGAAACATATATATTTTTGTTTAATGGGGAGGCTTCCATCATTTGAAAAATACAAAGGAATTATTCTTTGTATTTATCTCTTGCTTGTCTTTATGTATCCTTTACTCGCTGCTGGCCCCGATTTTTACCTAGCATTCTCTTACATTCAAAATAGGTCTATCCAACTGCCAGTCTCAAGAACACATACTGTGTGCTCATTTCATTTCGATTATCCTACACAGAAGAGGTATAGAAAAGTTCAAGACTAAAGAGCAACTCCAGATAGAGTGTAGAAGTTAATGTGTTGTCTGCTACCTTAGAGGCAAGGGTCAGGTGATGACACTTTGAAAATGGCATTCAAAGGTGCAAGATAATGGCATTTAACAATTAATCTACTTCATATTCATCCCACACATTTAATTTTCTCTTCAGCTTTCACAATCCCAGACACTATGCCCTTTCCATTTCTCTCTCCTTTCCTTACTAACCTTTCAAAATCCACCAGACAATACTATATTTATTGAAGGAAACTATGTATTTTCTGGGATTCATTTGAAATTTGGATGATTTGAGTAGCTTGTATTTCACCAACATTCTGAATTTACAAATAGATTAATTGATTAATTAATAGATTAATTATTGAGGGAAAAATTCTACTGTCTTTTATTGTAATGCAATAGTTTGAAAAGGAATAAAAGAAAAAAATAGGTATCTATGTATTCTATAATAATCTCTAGAGTATTTGGTCAAGTGAATCATTTTGAATTGAGGGTGAATGCCAGAAAGAAAAGAGACTGGAATAAGTTCAAAGAATGTGTCTAAGAACAAAAAAAGAAAAAAATGATACAAAATAGGTAGTTGTGGAGGTGGGAGGGAAGGGATAGTAGGGGGAAAACAAAGGAGGAGGCAACAAAGCTCAATAGGAAATGTACTCATTACCTTGGTCATGTAACTGTAACCCCTCTGTACAGCATTTTTACAATAAAAAGCATACAAAAATAAATAGGTAGCTAAATATATTATAGAACTTGATGTGAAAATGCTACTTAATATATTAGCTTATTCAAAACATTTTATAAATCTTCAGCTTTGCATTACAAACTCGGGACATAAAGTGCAAGACACTGTGGTGTCCCAACTAAGGAAGTAATTTATTTCAAGGAGTTTTGAGGGAACAGATGCTAATCTCATAGTATATCTAAACTGAACAGGAAGAGAAGAAAGAACATTGTGAGCCATGGAATCCTGTGGTATGTAACACCATGCAGCCTAGTGTAAAAGACAAAGCTGAAAGAACCTGGTCTGTTAGGAAAAACTTGAATCTCACCTTGGATACATACTTGCAGATTGCACAAATGAAAGTAATAATGAAGTGAAATAGTGTACTCAGCCAAAAGGAGGTTTGTGTTCAACACAAAGTTGCTAACACAAATATAATACTAACTTGGAAGTTAACAAATGTTGTCATTTCAACTTTTCCGGAGCAGCTTTCTTGCCACACCTACCGATGACTGTATTTAAATTATACACTTGCAGTTCATTTTAAGAACAGTGTGATGTATCATTCATGTCAATGTAGTGTTTTTCTATTTAATAGCACTGAGTGTTGATATTTTACTGAGAATAAACATTTGCATAACTCTGCCTTTAAAAGTCTGGCAAGGGTGTGGGTATTTTCAAAGTCATGCTTATTCTTTGTTATGGTTTTGTGTTTTAAATCAAGTGTCTTGCCTATCACAACCCTATTTATATTACTGAAATAAAGATGTATAAAAATGTTTAAATTGATGAATATATCCTGTGACTGTGTCCAATCAACATAAACTTAATGAGTTAAAAATCTAGTCAATTAATGTTAACTCTTACTTTAAACAAGAAATCAGTGTCTATTAAATAGACTATGGAACTTATTTTCTAAGTTCACCTCTTCAGCTGGCAATAAACTCTTCCTGAAGGTCCTTTTGTAGTTTAACATATTTTTGATTGGAAGTTATATCATGAATTAATACCTTTATAATTTAAAATATTTAATTGTAATTCATATATTAATTATACATTTTTAATTTTACATATTTATACTGAACACTCCATTTTGATATCTAGTTTGTTTTTTCTCTACAAAAATGAAATGGCTTTGTTTACTAACTCACAGGTGAAAAAAATGCTTTACATATTCAATCATATTAATATAATCAAATGTTAGTTGGAAGGCATAAGACTTAAAGGAAGTTAGAAGAAGTAATGGAACAAAGAGTAGAAGCAGAAAAACAAAGATGGTGCAGGCTGCAAAATATTCTGAACAACTTCTGTTGTATCTGTTCAGCACAAACACTGTTCTTTGGGAGAATTTTCCCTATTACTATCAGGAAAATTCCCTAGAACTAATGCCACCTCACTTTCTTTGAATAGAAGTGACAAATAATAACAAGTTTATATTTTTAGTGGTGACAATCTAGAAGTGGAACTGAACCAGTCCTAGTTTCTCTTCTGGGGACTTTGAATTAAAAGTGGTGATCCCTGATCATCTGAGTGCAATTGTGCCTTAGAGTTGAGAAAAAGACAAATTTGGCCAGGCACATGGGAATACATAAATAGTCATGCAGGAAGAATGAAGTCAATTGGGCCTCATTCCCAGATAGGTGAATGTATGAGTTAAACTCCTTACTTTTCAATTGCCAAAAAATGATATCTTGTGGATAGAGGCTAATTTCCATGACTAGTTGCTTGATTCTTTATAAAATGCCCTTAAGTCTAGGGTCATTTCAAATAAACAGAATCCTGTTAACAAATGACCATTGTCTAAGAAATATAGCATCATATACTTGATTATTATTGTATTTTACACATGAACCCATACATTATTGTTTTGATATATATTATCTAGCCCAACTGTCAACCTTTCAAGAAAATAAACAAACAAACATTTCTTATCTTTAGCCTTTACGCATCATGTTATCTTTTACAGAAAAGACACAGGAACCATGATGTAAAATACTTATTTCGTAGGTGGGAAAGTAACTTTTAGATTTTTTTCAACATGTTTCTCTGTATTCCAGATTATTTCATTCACATCTCAAATTTTGTATTTGCACAAGTGAAGCTTTTGTAAAAACATAACAGAAAATAGCCAGGCACCAGTGGCTCATGCTTATAATCCTAGATGCTTGTAAGACAAAGTTTGTGAAGATTGTGGTTTGAAGCCATCATGGTGAGGGGAAGAGGTCATGTTAACCCCTCTCAATCAATAGTTGGGTGCTTTAGTGGTATACACCTGTCATAAAAGCTATAGAGGAAATGTAAATAGAAGAATCATGGTCCAGGATGGCTTAGGAAAAAACAAAAACAAAAACAAGACCCTATCTCAAAAATAGCTAGAGACATAAGTCAAATCTAAAACCTGAACTAAACCTGGTATTGAAAAAAAATCAAACATCAGGAATATATGCCATGTCTAATTATGTTTTAAAAACTTGCGCTTAGAGCCAGACACCGGTGGCTCACGCCTGTAATGCTAGCTACTCAGTAGGCTGAGATCTGGGGATCATGATTCAAAGCTAGCCCGGGCAGAAAGGTCCTTGGGAGTCTTATCTCAAACCGGAAGTGGCGCTGTGGCTCAAGTGGTAGAGCGCTTGCCTTGAGCTGAAGAGCTGAGGGACAGAGATCAGGCCCAGAGGTCAAGCCCCGTGACCAACAACAAAATAAAAATAACTAACTAATAAATAAATAAATAAATAAAAATCGGGCTTAGCATATGGGAGCCCATATGGGTGTGAGCATTAGTGTATTTCAAAATATAGTGTCCATAAAGACACCTGTTTGGAGGTTTTGTCATAAGAGAGTAAGACACCACAAAACAAACGAAGAAGATTTGGTTACTGAAATATCCAGGGTGAACTCATTCAGAAGTGTGATTGACACAAAGAACACACTCATTAAACCAGCTAGGGTTTGCAGAGAGTTCATAATCTATCATTGTTTGCAATAGTATCTTGTTTTTTCTTACTCTGTGGAAATCTTGGCAATGGTGTCACAAGAGCTGTATTCCACGCCTGTGAAGATTTCTTTGCAGTGCGCCGTCCGAACACCATTGAGCCAATCACCTGTTGAGCGGAAGGTAGCGATATCGACGTTGCTTTGGTCCAGGAGAAGGTTTGATGGCCTGCCGGCAGAGAAAGCACAAAAAGGAGAGAGATCAGGAGTTAGCAGAGATGCCATGTATCACCTTGACCTGACATCAGTGAGACCTTCCAAAATCCACGTGGTGCTCATGTTTATTCCTAGAACTGATCTTCTTGGAAAACTTCATTTTTTTTAAGCCGACAATGTGGAAGAAGATTACAATCACTTTGTCTGAGGGTTCCTTTTTCACTCTGAACTACTTTTAATGTTTTTGAAATTTTGTCAGTGAATAGCATAAATACACCCATACACTCTTTGTATAATGCGTTTAGTATTAGTAAAGATGGTGGTAAGTTAAGGCATTGTTATAGAGGTATGGCACACCACATACTTTACTGTCTTATTAATGGGTTCAGTTTCAACTTTAAATTCTATCCACGGGGTGTTTGTTTATCGACACTGTTTAGATTGCTGTCTATAGAATACTGTGAACAATCTAAGCTACATTTATAGCAGGATTGTAAGCAGCACAGAGGTAAATAGTGCTACACTTGTGATTAAACATAAGAATTGCAGGGCTGGGAAGGTGGCTCAGTGGTGGAACGCTTGCCTTGCATGCCTGAGGCCCTGGGTTCGATTCCTCAGCACCACATAAGCAAAAAGAAAAAAGCCGGAAGTGGCCCTGTGGCTCAAGTGATAGAGTGCTAGCCTTGAGCTGAAGAGCTGAGGGACAACGCCCAAGCCCAGAGTTCAGGCCCCACGACTGGACCCCAAAAATTAAAAAAAAAAAGAATTGCAAAATAAATGCAAAAACTGTTGAATAATAAATTATTGCATATTTGACACCAATGAGTGATGAATCTCTCACATATGTAATTGTAGTTATTCAGATCTGGATTGAAATTGTGATTTATATTGACAACACAATTCATCATTAACAAGAGGGACTCTAGGATTGTTTTATTTAATTACAGGCTCTATTTCAGATCTAGGAACACTCATGAGTCCTGTTTTATTAAAAGGCAAAAAATGACATAAAGGAAATAGAGGTCACTGTCATCCTGTCTTGAATAGTCTAAAGAGTAGCTTATTAGTAAACTAACTTTATGGTTTTTGTTTTTGTTTGTTTTGCTTCTGTTCTCAGTAACCTCTTTAACTTCTTTGACTGGACCTGGTTAATAACTGGACAAATATTCTTTGGAGAATTATTACTTAGCCCTTCTAAATAATGTAGTCTTTAATAGACACATTACATATAACACTGCATTTCTTCATTGTTTATTGACCAGTAAATAACCGTGACAAATATTTTTAAATCGTATATGACAAAAGATTGTGAGAAAAAATGAACTGAATCCTAGAATTAGGTCAATGTGATGTTAAACTCTTCACACACGTTTGTGCACACACACACACACACACACACACACACATTCAACTCATATTTTCCATGTCAACAGTAGCTGTAGCACAAACCCTAATGTCGACTCCTGGTTCAATGAATAGCAATACTTCTTTATTTATGGGTTTGTGGGTATAAAGAATCAAACCTCAGGACATTTATTCAGAATATTTATGAAGTGTGCTTAATAGCACAATGCAGAATATTCTTTTCTTAACTCCAAATAGTTTGTAGTTTTAAACTCAATGTGTTGGCCAGACATAACAAGAGTTTGGCAAAAATTAGTATATATACATTGAAATAGAACAGGACGTGTGGATTAGGGATTAGAGTGACCCCAACTGAGTTCTTCTGTTTATTACTTGGATCAAAGTACAACCAAGACCAAGGAAAAAGAGGAAAAAAGAAGAAAGAAAGAAAACCTAATTTTGATGTCAGTGACCTCAGAATAACCAGTCCTGCAAAGTATCATTTTTCCACTTCCAGGATTTCTCTGGGGATTTCAAATAAAAATTGGTTCCTTTCCTCCTCTGAGAGGACATCTGGAGAGTTTATCAATGGATAGGAATTTGTCTCTTACTGAGAAGAGCCTCTGATGTCTCTTCATGCGCACCAAGGGAATCTGGGCTTTCTGAGCAGCTGCAGGCAGAGGCGTTTATTTTTTGTTCAGCCCCAGCCCCAGACACTGGGTCTGAAGGGGAAATTTATAGGCTGGGTGATGTGCACCGTGAGCTCACACTTTTACTAGACAAATTAGATAGGTTTCAATCCGTGCAGCTGTAAATGATGTCCTACAGAGTTCCACCTGATCTTTTACAGCTTTTCATAAATCAGTGCCTACTGGCCACAGACCGCAGTCATTAAAAAGAAATCATGGAAATTACATGTTTGCTCAGGGGAAGCAAAAAATAACTTTCCTCCCTTGCTCTCTCCCTCCTTGTATTTGGGTGAATTATTCTTTTATGGACATTAAAGAGGTATACATATTTTTCTTCCTATCAATCTCATTCTTAGCCATAAATGATTACAGACCAATTAGCACCAGGTACTGGGGTAACAAATGTCAATTAACAATGCCAAGAATACCTTCTTAAAATGACCTTATTTTAACATTTAGACTCTGAATCACTAGAACTGAGGAATGGACTTCCCTTTTGTAACTGTTCTTTACAAAGGACTTCATTTTCATGTATTAATGATTGATGCACATTTCCTGAATAAGTAGATGTCGCTGAATTCTAAAAGGAGAGATCAATAACACTGATCACTATAATTACTTTTTAATTTGTTGTAATTAGTTTTGGGGAATATATTAAATCTAGGCCACAAAAGGTAATGACATTTACTTTTATTTGTTGTCTGGGAATGCAATACAATATTTCTTTTTGTAGTTTATTTTTAATTTTTAATTGCAAATGTTGACTACTCACTATATTGCATGACATAAATTTAATACTTGTCAATTTATTTATTTTAAAGTAAATTCATGTTGACTTTGACCTTGCATACAAGACTAAGTAAATTCAAGCTTTCATTAGTAACTAATGTCATTTTGAATCAGTGTTATTCTCACCAGGAAACTAGTACAAAAGTGACACACTAAAGAAATAAAGTCATCTTGTTTATTTTAGTTTTCTTCATTTCTTTAAAGATAAAAAAATAAATGAAGTAAAAATCACTTTGATTTTTATATATGGTTTAAATAGAAGAAATCTCCTGGATACTTTGCGTGTTTGCTTCCCTAAAAAACATCACGCATTATATTTGTTCAGTGAGTAAGTCACCCTGTCGGTTTTAGATTTTGAGGTCAAAGTCATTTTGAGAAATAGGTAGATTGCTTTTAGGTCCTCAGATTTATCATAAAGGATAAAATATTTGTCTAAATAACTCTTTTTCTGAAAATGATTTATATTACATACTCTTGGAAATTCAAAGATCTTAAGCCAACGTTTTTAATTGCTATTAGCAGGAGAAATTATGGGGTTATTTGTATTTTTTCCTATCTATGTTTCTGATTATTAAAAATCTTTTAAAAGTTAGAAGGAGTCAATGAAGTGGAAAATATATATACAAAACATTTTAATTCACCATGTGTAATTGCAAATCATCGTATTAAGTATACCATTAAAGTCTTTATCACAAAATAGCCTGCACTAAAGAATTTCAGTCTGAAGATTTTGAATGTATTATTTACTTTTGGTGCCAAGAATGTGGATCCCATGAATTTATAGTATTATTGATAAATTCTTAGATGGTATAGATTCTGTGAATTAAGAACCAATTATTCACTTACTTTATTTTATGTATATACTGGAATTTAACTATACTCAAATTCATATCTAAATTTATAAACATGTATGTATAAATACCTATAACAATAGACTTTTTATTTTTCTATTAACTCTAATCATAAACATAATTGAATATTTCTTTTAAAAACTCTAATATTGTAACAATACTATCTCAAAAGTTTTCTTTAATACAAATCTGGCATATTTCTTCCATATAGCAAACAAAATGTGTTTCAAAATAGGCTAAAATTGCTATTGTAAGACAACTTCTACTTGCTTTAAAGTGAAATTTAGGTATCATATGCATAATAAATTTCATGGCTTCAATCTTTTATTCTCCATGCAGTAACATGTGTGCTCATCATTCCCATCACTTAGAACAGTATTTGTCTACATTTCAAAGATGAAAATCTGTGCCAGTTACTGAGGCATGCCCCATGCTCCTAGTATCCAAAATTCTACTTTTATTTCTATCAGTCTCTTCTTTGGGTCTGTAGTAGGAATCCCACAAATGTATCTTTTTTTTGGTAACTCACTTATTTGCTTAGCAGCTTTTTCTATCAGTAACATCTTTTTTAATTTTATTTTATTCTCAAGGTGATGTGCAGAGAGGTAACAGTTACATAAGCAATGCAGTTAGTACATTTCTTGTCAGTAAAAGTTCTAAAAAAAATCTCTAATTTTTAAAATGAAAGGGGAAGCTTTTTACCCCCATTATATATGTACATTATAATCACATATATCTTTTTTCCCTTGCTTTCTCAAAAGCAAGATTTTATAATCTCTTTCCTTTTCATCCTCCAGAAATAAATCGACCACTTAAAATGTCCTATCACTCCAAAAAAAATCAAAACATTTCAAAACAGTTCTGTGGAAAGGATTTAATGCACTCTCCAATGCTTCATTTAAAAGCTTCATTTTCCTTCATTTTTTTTCTTAGGTTCTAATAGCTTTTAATAATGAAGTTTATTTTAATCCCGTTTCAAAAGTTTTTTTTCTTTCTTTTTTATGCAATGGCTTAAGAGTCTTTACATTTTCTACTCTGTTTCCAAAGTTCTAAATTGAGATGTTGCTTTCTAGATTGGAGTTAGTGAGTGGGTTGATGTTTTCAGATATAAACAACGTTTGTTTCTTTACAGGGCTCCCATCCACTGGCACTGACTGAGTTCATAGCTGCCTTACAAGGAGCCTCTAATCCTCAGTGGGGATATATACACAATTGTACATAATAGAGACTTTCCATCACTCTAGTTATGCCTTTTGCACTTTTGGGTATTTCCGTTTTTGGCCTGGACTAAGTGATTGAGAACTTTTAAGGCTTCAGTGAGACCCTTGGACTTCAAGACA